TATATATATACATATATATATATAGATGGACAGATTAATAAATTATCAATGTGTTGATGATATCTTAGAATCGATTGTTTGTTATCGATGAATTTAATAATGTATTATGAATAAATTACAATCTGTATTGTTTATCAGTAAGTATTTTGTAGTATACTGCCTAAGGCCTAAGACAACTTCACAGTAGAAAGGAATGATGAATGAAGATTCCCAAATTGGTAAAGATTAACGTGTGGTATTGAGTCGTGTGTAAAAATAAAAGAAATTTGTCCTTTACCAAATAACATTTAACATTATAAATTACTTAATGAAGATGACGTAACTATCAATAAATTGCACAAATTTATTCAAAATTTTAATTTCTACTTAATATTAAGTAAAGTACTCTTTTATTGGGAAATTTGAATATGCCTTGACGACGTTATCAAGTCTTTTAGCCTACGTACACTTACAACGTCATGACGAATACGTGCATTGTAATTTATCTTTCCAGAAACCGAATATTACGAGACACCGATTAGTGAAAGAGGTTAAACTATGATAGGGCGAAATAAGGGGATTGAAAAATGCTATGCGATGATATTTTGCTGAGAAGGGGTGAAAGGTTAAAGATATTTGGTCTTTACTGAGAAAAATAGGTAAAAACTTATGTTATCTCTGATATACTGTTATCATTTTCTCTTTTTTATAATATTAATTCCTCCGTATTTTTTTTTGCAAAGTTGTATAATTAGATGCAGTATTCTACAAATACGTTTGTCTTGCATTTTACTATACATTTATCTTGTCATGTATTTTCAGCTTATATGAAAATATAATTAATAACATTAGGTAGTCATTTTGAAACATACATTGTGACAGTATTAAAATAATGGTCTAGATGTATAAACGTGAGTAATCGTGTAAACATGACGAATAAGAATATAGTGTAGGAATATATTGAGAATATGAGAATGTAAGAATATATTAAATAATTCAAGTTCAATTTAAATATTTAATCGTAATATATGTTAAAAAGTTAACGTGTACGTAGTCTTACATATTTGCGGGTTGTATGCAATATTTATATGTGTCACATTTCCATGTGGAATAGTTACAAAAAATTTACGTGTGATTTTCGTATCATTTACAGATATATGCATAGCGACGACTAATTGTTACCCAATATTTATTTAAGCCGTTTGGTGGTAAATTATTGATGCGATTTGCATTTTATACGTGAACGACAAAAGTGAAAAATAAATAAAAGGAAATGTCTACAGGTGTATTGCCATTTGTAAAAGGAATCGATTTCTCATACAATGATTTCTCGGTTTGTTTGTTTTTCTAATCAGATTTTGTTTTAAAAAAAATAAATTTTATTGAAATTCAGAACCAATATAATCAAAATAAGCAAAGTGATTTGTAATTCAGTTTCCTTTTCTAATGATTTTTTCTCTATTTCAGTACATAGTTTTGCAATTAAAGAATGACATTTACTCATCATTAAAATGTGTAGACGGGTAGGCATTCTAACTTGTAAGAGGTTTATTGTTAAATTTTACCAATGAAAGCAATACGACCTGATGGTCTTTTTGTATTCAAAAAGTTATTGGTAATTATCTATATTTTGAAAACAGTAATAAAGGCCGTGAAATAATCGTTGTTACTAATTAATTATCATTCATTGTCGTTGCTAAAACTTATAGTTTGTTTGCATTTCCTGTAATTTGTTTATACTTTTTATTTAATTTCTTTGCATTTTTTTTCTATTTATACTTATAATTTATTTATATGTTTTCATTCTTTAGGGTGATCGTTTTCCGGTAGAAGTTGAGCAGATGACACAAATGACATGGCTAAAATTGAATCATGCTTGCTTGGAAAGAGTATATTTTCTTTTCTTAGGCACTATCTTACTTTAATAAAAAAAAGAAAAAATAAAGGAGATGATTTGATTTCAAGCAATTTGTCATTTTTGTTTTACATTTTTTTTTTTGTTCTGCAGGTGCCGGATGAGCTATCACGATTAACAAACCTTGAGCATCTACAAATGACATGTAATACATTAGCAAGTGTCCATGGAGAGCTTTCCGATTTACCACGCTTGCGTTCCGTTATCGTACGGCATAATCAAGTGAGAAAAATAAAACTCAGAACGAGAGAAGATTTAGTCGATCCTGGCTTTCCATTTATCCACCATTTAACTGAGTTGGGACTATTTTATTAGTGTTAAGGATATATTATTCAAATGAAGTTGAATACAAAGCACAACAGTTATTTTCAGATCAAAACGTCGGGTATCCCTACTGATATATTTCGGATGAAGGATTTAACAATAATAGACTTCAGCCACAATACCCTTCGTGAAGTACCACCGAATTTGGAGTATGCAAAATGTGCTATTGTACTGAATTTAAGCTACAATAACATCGAAAATGTACCAAATGCAGTAAGTATTTAGTTTAAGGAATGCTTAAGTAAATATATTGTGGAACTTCCTCATGTGACAAACAGGAAATGATACTGGGAGACACTTTGTTTTGTGCTGAAGTAGTGCATTCTGTGCTCTCCTACGCCTTGATATTTTTAGGTATTTTCAAATCTTATCGATCTTTTATATCTGGATCTTAGTAATAATAAGCTAGAAATGCTTCCTCCTCAAATACGCCGATTGACAACATTGCAAGTCCTTCGACTATCCAATAATCCACTGCATCATTTTCAGTTAAAACAACTTCCTAGGTACTTCTCTCTCTTATTTTCTGGAAATAATTTTCGAAATATTTCTACAGTACTGAGTCAGATGTCGGTAGATTTTAATTGTCTGCTGTGTTCGATAATGAGAGCCAATATACATTCAAACGTATCACCATTCAAATACTTTTTGATTAAACGACAATCGCCATATGCAATTTCGGGTGGCATTTCGTTAAGTGTTAGTTGAAAGCGATTAATTATGGATATTAGAACTTAATAACTATTGTGATTTTTTAGCATGAAAGCTTTACGGGTGTTACATATGAGCAATACTTCGCGTACTTTGGATAACATTCCTCCTATATTGGACGATTTGGATAACTTGCAGGTACATTTCAGTTATTTAACTGTACCTCGAAAAAAAAAAAAAACTTCACGAAATGGTTGTGCAGCCAGTTTTATGAATCCTGTTTGGAGGAGTATGCTATTAACACGACCGAATATGCAGGAGTTGAATATCAGAATAGTCCTGATACTCTTATAATTTTTATCAAAACCTGGTTTTAACCTTTTTTAGGATGTTGATTTTTCTCATAATAGTTTACCCGAGGTACCGGATTGCTTGTATAAATTGAAAAAACTTCGGAAGCTTGACATCAGTCACAATCAGGTATTTTATTTAACTCCCCTATTCCAATTTATTCACTAAACAATCTTTAACTAAAAGTGAAACATAAAGCGGATAGTTCAGCATTACTTCGAGTGGAATCTGCATCGAATTACCTACAAAGGAAGAAGTTGGTAGGTAAATTGCATGGCATTCTGTAACTCATTCCAAAAACCAAAACAACTAACAGTGCTTCCGATCATGTAGAGATGCATTGCACTAAATGACAGAAAGATCCTGACGATGTTAATAGCTTCAATTTCTAGCTGAGGATCTCCCTTGCTTGCTTGATATTGCAGTCATCGCTTAATTCATTGGACTAGTTTATTAATTTTCCAACCCTTGCAGATCAAAAAGATTGAATCGAAAGACACACCTTGGGAAAATCTGGAAACACTGAATGTTTCTTCGAATCAGTTAAAGGTCTTACCTGAGAGTATTGTACGAATGATCAAGTTGCAAAGGTTATACGCTAGCGACAATCAGCTGACTTTTGATGGTTATTTTTTCGGTTAGACAGAAATGATTTTTTCCCTGAAGAAAGGCGCAAATAATTTATTAAAGGGAGCCGTGTAATAAGCAGTGATGCAGTAGAAGAATTGATACATGCGTTTTCAGGTATACCAAGTGGTATCGGGAAATTAGTTCAGTTACAAGTCTTGTATTTATCATACAATCAACTGGAATTGATACCGGAAGGCGTTAGTCGTTGCGTACGTTTGCATCGCTTAAAACTAGATAATAACAGGCTAATAACTTTGCCAGATTCGATTCATCTATTACCCGATCTGAAACAACTCGATTTACACAAGTTGGTTTTTTTAGCACTTATTCACATACTATATTATATTATCCATCTCTCTTATAATAAATCGTTTTACAGTGTGAATTAGCGCATGAGGTGATTTTAAAGTTGTTTATACACATTTTTTGAGTTTTATTTGGTTTTTATTATAAATCTTCTTTTGTGATACTAAGCACCTTTTTTATACCGTAGAAGGATAAACATTAAGGGAAGGGGATAGTGTACTTAAGAAGTGTGGTTATTGTTGCAGTATTTCAAACATACTATGGAACTTAAAGATTTTTCATTTGCTTTAAAAAGTTTCGTTTAAACCATTATTTAAGTCATGTAAAATTTCTGAACTATTGTTACTCACGCGTCTGATTCAATTTATCATGATGGTCATAGATTAATAGTGAATGGTACCTTATTCTTACTCTGTTTTCAGTAATGACGGACTTGTGTTGCCGCCCAAACCAAATGAAGAAAATCGAACTTTAGCATTTTACAATATCGACTTTTCCCTAGCAAATCAGGTAAGGATTTCCCTGCTTTTTTTCAAATTTAATTTTTTTTTTCATTTGTTTCTCTACTAAAAATTAGTTTTTTTTTCTGTTTTCGTGAAAATTTTTCTGAAAGTTGGATATTTTATCTTATTTTTATCTTCAAATATGGAAATATATTAATGAAAGCTTGATTGTTTGACCGTCAGTAATCCAATCAACAAACAAAAATGAAAGATGTGCTGTTTAGCATCTTGAGTCTTCTTCAAGGTTTCTAACATCCACATGTTAGAAATGGTATCTCGATTCTCAATCTCATGCGATGTGTTGCATTAAAAAAATCAGGTATTCCCAGTTACCCTGTTTGCCATCACTTTTCAGATGAAACTTGCGGGGCAAAGTCCATCATCATCGGTGAGTTCAGTTCCCAGTTCTGCAACACAAAAAGATCCAGTTGCCAGAAAGAAAGAGTTTTTACGCCGACGTCGAATGCAGACTGATAGTCAGGGTGCAAATAAAGTTATTGAGGTAATAACTTGCTTCGATTTTAAAGCTTCTCTCAATATGAAAATTAATCAACAATAGCTTTTAGAATCAAAAGTTAGAATTTTATTATTTTGATTTCTGGGCTTTTGTTGGAAAATTGCTTAATTTTGCAACATTTTAAAATTGTTGTTAATATATAATAAGATACCTGGCATTTGGGAACCACAGATCATAAGCCCAAATTCCCACTTTCTTCCCTCTCTTCTCTTCTTCCCTGCTGATTCTTTTTCTTAATGGCCCTTTCGTGCTATCAAATACATTTGCCTCAGGCAGTTGTTGATTTTACTATGTGCCATATTTCCAATTATAATAAGAATATTTGCACTTGCCAGAAGGTACAGTCACGATAGTCCTTTTTGCATTCTCTTATAATTTTTATCAGTCATTAGAAGGAAATGATATATTATGGACTATTTTAAAAGCTGATGTTTCAATGACGTCACTTTTCATTTTGGAAGTGAAGTTGGAGATGGTGTGATTATATATTTTAAAAAGGAATCAACACTCTTAAGAGAATGAAAAAAAAGTCCCCGTTTTCCTTTTTTGGCTAAATGTAGGTTCCTAGCAACCTCATTTGTCTTGTTTATTGCTCTCTTCCACATATGGAAATTTTTTTAACCATTTTAAAGATTTTATTTCTATTTTGTTTGTAATTCAAGTCACTGATAATTTCGGACCTTATAATGGGATTTTTCCTTCATTGCTTTCCTTGAAATCATTGAAAACAAAATAATGTGGTTTTAGTATCAATATATATATACATATTTTTTTGGTGTTCTTCTTTGTAATTCGAAAATTACTGGCCAATCTTTTTCCGATAATTCTTCTTGATGTCTCTTTTAGATGGGTTTAAAAAGGACTTTTTAAGTGCAATCAAATAATAACAACCGATTTCCTAGTGCATTCATCAAGCTTTTAGAATGATAGTGTCCTCCGTTATGCCTGACAATATGCCAGTGATGCATCTTTTTTGAAAAATAGTGCTGAGTGGATCTTCGATAATTTATTTAATTGGATTATTTAAATGAAATAAGTACACAGGTGTTGTTGACATTGAAAGCAATTATTGTCCACGTAATTGAAAAATTGTTGATTATGTACTCTTTTTGGAAAATGTATTTAGAGACATTTCCTCGAAATTTCGGGAATTTAATTAGATGCTATAAACCTTATTTATCGTTTTAAAATGACAGGTTGGTTGCAGTTTCTCGAGTACTGTTATTAATAATAATTTCGCTTCTTTTTCTATCAAATCGTTATTGATGTATTAATTAGTTTGTCTTTTTTTCATAGTCTACTGATAATATAGCATTTTTTAATCGTTCTTTTTTTTGCAAGAAAGTTTTTAGAATTGTTTTTTGATGGCCCTTATAATATCTCCTCTCTTTAATATCTACTCTCTTCTTTCTGTTTCTAAATCAGCGAAAATTTATCTTATTTATCTAGTTGTATGAATCCTTTCCTGTAGTTATGAATTATCTGTTAGTCGGTTGCATATAATTCTTCTTTTTTGGCTTCTTTGTACCTGTAGAAATTTGCTTCTTCATATCTTACATATTTGGTTCAACTGCGCTTTCATTTCCATATCGTTATGTGGCATCCAGTTAGGTTTTCTAGATATAATTTTAAATGCGTGAAGTATGCTCGTATTTCAAATTTTTCTTTTCAATTTCGACATTATTTTAGGGTATGTCACATGTTGCCGGTGCAGCCCGAGACAAGTTAGACCATGAACTACCTCCAGATTATGTCAGAGTTCCCACCTGGAAGGTTATCATATTTACTTTTGAAAATTTTAATTGTCAATGTTTTCTTAATTAATCTAATCAATAGCATGTGTTATTGTTTGTGATTGATAGCGTATATAGTTTGAAGTAAGACAATTTTATATTCAATGGATTATTGATTCTCTTGATAAAGATCCTTACAAAAATGATAATAAAGTAAAAGTAAAGTGAAATTCCATTCGTAATAGTTCCAGCTTGGAGTTAAAAAAACTGCAAATTCTGGAAAAGTGTTGAAATAAAAGTTTTAATTTTCAGGATAAAATGGAACAGCAAAAGCCACATATAGATTACAGTGAAGTATTTGATGAGGATGTTGGACAAGACGAAGGAATGTGGGTTTGGGAGATTGAGAATTTCTATCCTAGTATATTGGACTCATCGATGCATGGCCATTTTTATGACGCTGACTGTTACCTCATTCTGCGCACTGCAAGGGTATAGTTTGAATTTTATGACCAGTGGATTACCTAATAAATTTCTAATTAAGACACTAACTAAATTTTATATTTTTTGGTCGAAACGTAGATGTTTTATATCTCAAGGTATTTCATCATATGATGTATTAATTCCGCTGTTAAATTTCTACATTTCTGCAAATCTGTTGACACCAGTGCGCTAAGAAACCTGATAGTTTAAGACTTCAAACTTCAAATTATTTTGATATCTTAAATTATATCTCTGTTTATCAAATAACTACTAGCATCTGGTGGAGCAATTACCACAATACCTGGCTAACTGTCTCTGATAAGATTATAGCTGCACAGCGTCATATAACTTAGCGTCAGCCTCCTATAGGAGATTTGCAGCATGTGAATCATTTATATAATCCGCTTGATATTAGTTTGTAAGGCTGCAAACTGAAACGATTTTTTTTTTTAAAGGAAGAATCTGGCGCTTTGAAGCATTCAATTTTCTATTGGATTGGAGAAAACTCATCTTTAGATAAAGGAATGTGTGCAGCTGTGCATGCCGTAAACTTAAGAAACCATTTAGGCGCTACCTGTAGGTAGAGATTTTGTAAATTTCTACACTTATTTTGAGTAGAAGAAATATGGCTCTGTGATGAAAAGTTGGTGAAGTTTGAAAAGTTATTTGATGGAGATAAGTGTTATAAAATATCTCATATTGTTTTTTATGTTCCCTTCATACTAATCGAACCATATGATTAAGTAACAAATTATCCTTCTTATTAATGAAGACTATTTGCAGAACTGAACGGGAAGAAATGAATGATGAATCTGATGATTTTTTGGAGTTGTTTGGAGAAGAAATTACCTATATTGAGGGAGCACGAACAGCTTCTGGTTTTTATACTGTGGAAAAAGCAGTGCATGTCACACGGTATTTTTGACTCAAATATTTTGCAGGAAACTGAACTTCTTATAAAGGGAATAAATAACAGTTTTAGGGTTTATGATTTCGAATTTCAGTCTTTATCGTGCATCTGTAGCAGGAAATACAATTGAAATGGAACCAGTTCCAGTATCACCGGATAGTTTAGATCCACGATATGTGTTCTTACTTGATGCTGGTGACATGATTTGGATTTGGAGTGGACGGAAAGCAAGAGCAAGTTTTTTTTTGATGTACAATGCACTGTATATTGCTTAATTTTAATTCTTCTTTACTTTCATTTCTTCACTTTATATGGTCTGTTCCAACTGCTGCTTACTCAGTTTCCTTCTGTTGAATATTTTTTTTTTTTTTTTTTGCATTACTGAATACAGAAGTTTTTTGTACATCATTTGCTAACAAGACAGAGTAGTGGAGATTCCGATTAAGCTAGTAAAATAGATCCTTCCAATTTTGGTTGTTTCCTAATCTTTTGCAATTTTTTCTATGCTACTTTTTAATTGTCTTTGTTTTTCTGCTGTTGTTTTTCCCTTTTTTCACAGATTTTTTTTTTTTGGTCTTATTGCGGTAGAGTACTGTTTAATGAGTAAAAATGACAAAGTCAATGCCACTGAGTCAGTGAGATAATGTTTTCCATATTTCTTAGATAACTGTATCGAACAAAACTCGTTTATTTGCTGTGAAAATGAATAAAAAAGATAGGAAAGGTCGAGCAGAGATTGAATCGTGTACAGAAATGCGCACACCGCAAGGATTTTGGATGGCTTTATATGGTTAGTCCGTATGGGTTGAAAATGAAGTAAAAATTCGTGAGCTTACCCATTGCTAATAGTGTTTATAATATACTTCCTGAAAATTGTTAGTAATGAATTTCGAAATTTTTCTTTACTCCGTTTTCTGCATTTGAACGGTTATCTTTTCCTTTCAGGACAACCTAATAAACCCGAAGATCCAATAGTAGAACATGTGGACGCTGATTTTGTGCCTGAAAGGAGACGTTTGTATCAAGTACAAATTGGTATGGGATTCCTAGAACTACCTCAAATAGAGCTTAAACATAGTATCCTGAAGCAGGTAAACATAACCGTTATTAGGAGAAAAAAAATACAGAACATAGTTTTACTTATTTGTAAATGAATCTTGTTTTAAAATTAAACGAAGAATTTAAAGGATGTGCTAGATACGAAATGTGCATATATTTTGGACTGTACGTCGGATATATTTTTGTGGGTAGGTAGGAAAGCAAATCGATTGGTGAAAATGGCAGGGCAGGTAATTCTTTCCTTTGTCATTGCATTTTATATTATTTCTGTATTTTGAACTACTTTCGTCTTTTGTTTTTGGAATGTTCGATTTACCTGTTATAAATTATGGTTTTTATTAAGAAACCTTTTATCGGGTATTTTATTCCCTGCTCTGAGAACAGAAGGCAAACCTTTATATGGAATATTTGCATAGAATAATAAAGTATGGACTAAAATTTAGCTCCTCAATACGTATACTGGAGATCGAAACACTTTGCATTACTATCTTCTCGATATTATTTGTTATTGCATACTCAGTATGGCTATTTTAGATTCCATTGATAAAGTTTACCCACTTTTATGATACTGATAACCATTAACGAGATATCATTTGTAATTTTAAAAAATTGAAGAAAATGGTAGTAGAATTGCATGCAATGTTGGAAAGACCAAATTACACAACAATTTCACGTGAAACAGAAGGCGAAGAATCAACAATGTTCAGGTTTTTCTTTTGTTTTGGTTTCCAAGATCGAATACAGATTTTCTAATTTAGATTTTGAAATTCCATTTTTCTTCAAAAATTCTGTTCCAAGAAGTATACTTCATTGGTTACGAGAGCTCGCTTACAGGTCAAAATTCCAAGGCTGGGATGATATCATACCATTTGATTTCACAAGAACTGCAGATAGTGTCCAGAGAAGAGGAGCCGATTTAAAGGTAAGTTTTAATATTGCTGATGCGACAACTGTATTTTATTTCTCATCTAAACATGCAATATTTGAATAGTAATATGAATTTTTCTTTTTTTGAGATAATTATGGAACGAGATAAGATAAAAACCGATTTGGCACCACTGTTCTTGCCACGACAATCAGCGATGAGTGAGGAGGAAGCTAATCAGATGATGGAAGAGTGTAACGAAGATCTCGAACTTCTCGAACCTTTCGTTTTAGTAAGTTATATTCTACTCTTTGAAGTTATTTCAATTATTTTTGAGAATAGGTTCTTATATTAGTATTCGGGAATTCTTCAAAAATAGTTATAAACAAAGTAGGAATTGTTTTCTAGGTTCCTTTTCTTTTTTAAGTTTTTTTTAAGGTAGGTTCTTACATTGGTGTTTGAAAATTCTTTGAAAATAGTTATAAACAAAATAGGAATTGTTTTTTGCATTATGAAATTAACAAAACATTAAAGTTTGATGGGGCAAGGAATATATCATTAACATAGAATCCTTCATTTTCGTTTTTTCTTTTTTCGTATGTTTTCAAAAAGTTTATGTAACTATTTCAAGGAATAATATTTTACAGGAAGGGAAGAAATTTGTCCGGTTACCACAGGAGGAATTAGGCACTTTTTACACAATGGATTGTTATGTATTTCTTTGTCGATACGAAGTGATACCGGAAGAGGATGAGACAGATTTGGACGAAGAAGAAATAGAATCGAGTGATGAGAAAGATGATGCTGCTGGTGATGATACTGATACAATACAGATATTTAAACGCAAGGTTAAGTCCGATGTTGCTAGAATTAAATTTAAACCATAACACATTGGAGCAGTAATACAAGTTAGCGTTATGAACAAATTTTGAAACTAATGTCCTTGAAGTGATGTCCTCTTCTCCTGGTTTTCTTTTTGAAAGTAAACAACTTACTGTGTGAATAACTTACCGTGTACAAAATAGTCACAATACGAATTACGTATTTTTTTATAAATGTATAATTTGTTTGGTATAACAATATGGAAGAGCTCTAGCACGACTTTTAACTTTAATTATTATAAAATTGCGATGATTTAGGAATCAGAAGAAGTACAAGAAGATTTTAAATGCGTGGTATACTTTTGGCAAGGACGTGATGCAAATAATATGGGCTGGCTTCATTTTACATTCAGCTTACAAGTTCGTTGTCAACTTTTCCAATGGTTCAAATTCCATGCCAATTTAAAGTTTTCAGGAAAACTTTGTCATCATTTTTCTATTAGAAAAATATTACTTTGTAAACGGAAAAAACTTGTTCATGATATTTTTTAGAAAAAATTTGAAGGCCTTTTTAAAGACAAACTCGAAGTTGTTCGCATGTATCAGCAACAGGAGAATCATAAATTTCTTTCACATTTCCATAAAAAATTTGTTATTCGACGCGGTCGACGAGGTTTGACGATGAATCTTGGAGGTTGTTTCTTTTTGCCCTAACTCTTTTGCCTAGATCCCAATCTTAAATATCCAGTGAATTATACGGGATGGTTTTAATGCGTTTAATTGAAAAAAAAAAAAAAACGGAAAGCAGGCCATTTCTAAGCCATTTTCAAAGTACAGTTCTTTTCACAGTAGAAACAGACTGTACAGAATAGACTAGCTTTAAATAAGGAATAATTAAGCTGAAATTGCAGTGAGCCTTATTTTCTATTAAAATTCAATCTGATATCCATGCATGAAAAGTTTCCCTCAGTCCGTTCTTATGGGCAACACTCTTGGTTATGAATATTATTAAAATATTACTTATCTGTTTAAAGAGAATGATTAATATTTGTTGTTATAGGGCATTGGCCGGAACTATTTTTAATGCGTGCCAATGGTTCTGCAGTATGTACGCGAACAATTCAAGTCGACTGTCGAGCAAACCAGCTCAATTCAGCTTTTTGTTGTATTCTTCGTGCCCCGTTCAAAGTGGTTGATGAGAACGGATTGGAGGGTAAAGTGTTCGTTTGGTACGGCAGTAAGAGTGACCCAAATCATCACGATCTTTGTTTACAGGTTATTCTGTCGGTTTTACTTTTTGTTTTTTCCTCAATTTTTCTCATTTGCAATGTAGATTTGAAACACGGGGAGAGGTTGACGTTATGGTTCAAATCATACGGTAATGCATTTTAGGTTTATTCATCGATGTTTGAATAGTTAATGCGTAATGTATAACACATTGTGAAATGAACTTTGATTACCGCTTTCACTTTACAGGTGGCAAAGGAGCTGATAAATCGAAATAATAAATTTCCGGTTGAAATTGTAAGGGAAGGTAATGAGCCGGAAAAATTTTGGGAGTGCCTGGGAGGTAAGAAAAAGTATGATACCAACGGTGACTTCTTAAATTTCACAAGATTATTCCGCTGCACAAACGAGAAAGGATATTTCGTGGTCTCCGAAAAAACTGTTGATTTCTGCCAGGTAAATGTGTACTTGTTTTAGATATGCAGTCTGTAGAAAAATCGATCGTACAGCTTTTGTTGATGCATTATTACTTATGTGATTTTGCTGAAATGAATTTGGTCATTTGATGGTGACACGAGTTCGAGCAATAATCTTGTGTTGAGATTAAATTTCAATAAAAAAGCGTTTAATGTCAGGATGATTTGGATGACGACGATATTATGATTTTGGACAATGGAGATTTGGTCTTCTTGTGGATGGGATATCATGCGAGCGAAATAGAACTCAAATTGGCTTATAAAGCTGCTCAGGTATCTTTCTTGTTTCCTTCGTTTGCAGGGAACATTTTCCATTCACCTGCTTGAGTATTCCAAATGCGGTTGTGAAAGCTTGAAAAATAAACGGAAATTACAGGTTTATGTTGCACATATGAAAATCAAAGAACCTGAAAGGCCGCGAAAGTTGGTGCTAAGCCTGAAGGGTCGAGAATCTCGACGATTCACAAAATGCTTCCATGCTTGGGGGAAGCATAAAATTCCAGCTGGCGAAGAAGTTTAACTTTCAGAAGTTTGATTGTTGTGGTCGGGTCATTTTTGTCTCAGTGGATAAATGGGTCTTTTCTCACTTACTCAGTCCACGGTTATTTTTTTGATTGAAATTCATATGCGTCACTAAATGCACAAATGCACAATGTATTTTTCTGAACATATATACATATAACAGGAAATGCTGCTTTAATTTCGAAAGTTCGTCTTAGAAAGCATAAATATAGACTGTGCAAATGTAATATTATGATACGTCTAGGCTTTATTTATTGTTCTTTTTTTTGTCCGTTCTAAAGTGCCTTATAAATATTTCTTATAATGTCATAACGACGACATCTAGAAGCAAAAATAGCTATATCCATGGAAAAAAAACAAATCGATGAAATAACAGTTGATTCCTACACACATGTGTATAGGAGACGAAATTTATCGCTAGGTACTTTTTTCAGATGCTTTGCTTTCAAATAATTTAAAATTAAAAAATGAGGAGTCAGTAACATAACGACCCACATTTCAGCATTATGGCATTTTTTATTTTTCAGGATGGAAACAAATATTTGGATAATATCCTATATTTTTCGATTACCTATGTTACAAAATTTCTTTTATTTTACCCCAAATCGCTGCATACTTTATTAACGGCATCTAGTCTTTCTTTCTCCTTTCGCATTGTATTTGATGTGAGGTAGCTATGCCTATGAAAATAAAAAGTGCACTGCAATTGGCATGACTTCTTTGTTTAGAGTTTGTTTCGTCACAGCAGTGATTGTAAATACAGATAATAACGAACAATTGCAAGCATATGAGATTATTCAGGAAGGGATATATAATTTCAATGGAAATCAAGAAAGCGAACTGTCACCTAAATTCATAAAATTGTCCAATCGATTTGCCCTGGATACTGTTCTTCCATATCACAAAACAGTGCTGCACATTCATCTCGTTCATCAGTTTGTTTACATCTGTCAAATAGTTTGGCGGCAATAAGAAGGACGACTTTCTCAAGAAGTGGTGCGGAAGCACGGCGAAATTCTCGACGCGCTGCAGCTAGAGCATTGAGTTGTTGCGGAACTGTATCTGTAACAAGGGTCATGTTTTGATACTGCGGTACCGTTTACAACAGTAAAAGTAGTCTGAAGCATTATAACTCTCCAATAATCGATGAGTGTTATTTTTTGGCACATAATGATTTTTACAGTATAAAAGGGTGGACACTGAGATAACAGGTTAAGAGTTAAAGAATGAGATCAGTTCGTGGTAGCTATACGTTAACAACATCGATGAAATGAAAAATTCCATTTTATTAATTCATATGCAAGTTCTACTCCGATCCTGGCTTGGGTTTGTTTTAGTTTTTATCTAGTCAAAATTTGCTTTCGGGATTTCAGAAATCGTCAGAATCTATTGATCCGATAGTGGAAATTAGTTAGCGCTACTGCAATAGGACCGAAAACCATAGAGCTTCGATTACTGTCATAATTTACCTGATGATATGTCATCTTTCTGAGCATACACTATGGAAGAAGTCATATGCAAAAATGCGTTTTCCAAAGGGTGGCATCGAATTTTGACAGCCCACTCACACTCTTCAATTTTCCTTAATGCTTCGTCAAATCGTTCTTCTGTTGCCTAGAAAGACAAATAAATTATACAGGAATATTTTATAAGTATAAAGCACTACCCAAATCTTACAATTCCAGTTTTTTGTTTGCAGTCTCCCCTATCGTCATTATTCAGATATTCATTTTAGGTGTGTATTAAAAAAAATGAAGTATGTGCAGAAATATGTATGAACATAGTTTGAAATTCTCAAATTATGTCGAGATAGATCTAAAAGTAATTAAAATACTGACATCAGTGTGTATAAGGCTAAGCATATCATTAAATGAATGACTTTGACTCTGAACTGGAAAAGAAGTATTGTTGAAACTTACATCTATATAAGCAATTCGTCGCATGATAATCGCGTAAAATGTATCCAGGGAATGCTTATATGCAAGATGCTTGCACTGCTCCAAAATTGATAGCGCTACATGCTCCAAATTATTTGAGGCATATAACATTGCTAATGCTATATCACATCTGAGAAAAGTTTAAAACAATATTTGTGACCTGGTATAAAATTTTTTATGCAGAAATAATCCTTTAACTATTAATATATGCACCTCATTAACTTGGTTGCTGAACTAAATGTCGAACAATTATTACCTCAGTCTCAGCCTTAAATCTTTTGAATTCTTCACTCTTTCGACATTTTCCTTCGCTATATTTATTGACTCTTGCAGATCACCCTTGGAGTGAACCAAAATGGCTTTTCTGAAACATCTGAATTTAGTGAAATTGGATACTATTACTCTGTAGGACGACATTAAAAACGCCCTCTAAATAAACTCAACTGAACATTCTTTTTATATCTGAAATTTTATAGACTGGAACCTCAAACCTTAAACCAGCTTCCGAAGGAGCTAACTGCTCCATTATCAAGAGCCATTGATCAGCAGCCATCCAGTCACCAAAGAAGAAAGCCCGGTCATATTCAATTAGTGATTCGCATAACTTCCAATGAAAAGCACACTAAGATTTGAAAGGTATTAGTTTAAATAAATTAATTTGATGCACTGCAACTTAGTTTCACTTGGTCAGGAGATTTAAGCACAACTAACAATTTTCCCACTTTGAATTAATACAGTATTACCTACAGAAATATTCATATTCCCAATGTATCTATTAAAGCTTAATAAAGTTCTTTTTTGTCTATTTGTTGAATAAATTGTGCTTTTTTTCTTACTATACAGTTTCATCATGGAAAAAACCGTTTTCAGTGTAACAAAAGCAAAATGAGAAAAAACTGCCTGCCAGTTGTTTTTCTCTGTGAATCGCATCTTCAATCTTTTCACTAGCACGCGTGCTTCATCAAATTGTCCGTTTAAAGCATGAGCGTAAGCGACATTTACTGCAGCAATTACCTAGCGCAACAAGTTTCTCGTTATAAATTATTCATGACATCAAATGAAAAAATTAGAAGGAAGCTACGAATTCAAATTCGACTTTATATTTTTTAATGCGCAAAATGAAGCTTTGGTGAAACTAACTAATACAGTGGTAGGTTTCCTAATTCATAAGCCTAAAATTATATTTTAAATATAAGAAATCAATTTCAAGATAGACACAAAAATATAGATTGGCCTTCTTTCTTCCGACTTTTTTCTGTTTATTGACTTTTTTTCTTGCCTACTTCCTTTATGACTTCGTATTTCTGGAATTTATATTTCTACTAAAAGCATTCTGCGATGTAAATTATTGAAAAGAAATTCGGTTATTGATGCGCTTCATTGCTTCTTCAACGAAAACAACTATACATGTAAATTGAATATTTCAGATCAATTTTAGCGTATTTAAGATTCGTTTTTTTATCTAGGTGTAATGTTAATGTAGACAGAGGCATTCGATTCTACGATAAGATGGATAGAAGCATTAGAATCTGCATTGAATCAGATGGAAGCATTCGATTCTATGATAAGATGGACAGAAGCAT